ATAGATAGATAGATAATATTATGGTCATATATATAATATATATATATATATATATATATATATATATATATATAATATCAAACACTAATATTCCATGAATATAATTTACATTTGAATCATAATCACGTGCAATTCATCACACCATGGATTTGTCTGTTGAATTGGAATATATATATATATATATATAAATTATATATATATATATATATTTGGACCACTAATATTATCTATCTATATATATATATATCTATCTATCTCTCTCTATCTCTATATATATATCTATATATATATATATATATATATATATATATTTTTGACCACTAATATTATCTATCTATCTATCTCTCTCTCTCTCTCTATATATATATATATATATATATATATATATATATATATATATATATTGCAAGTTTGAAATAATTTAGACATCTTATGTCTATTTATTTTAGCTTTAATCCTTTCATGTCCACCAATTAATTTCTTGGTGGCTGTGGAAAATTGATCAAAAAATGCGAAAATTTTCTTTCAAATAATTTTTATTTGTCATAGTTCTTTCAATCGCATCTGAGACCATCTTCAGTGGTTTCAAATATCTGTGGATATGTGTACAGTAACTTCGTAAATTAAAAATATTTTTTAGTATTTTCTTGATCAATTTTCTGCAGTCTCCATGAAATTAATTCATGGATTTGAAAAGATTAAATCTAAAATAAATAGACATAATATGCCTTAATTAGTTAACCAAGTATACGAATCAATTAAACATGTGGGACCTAGATGCCAATCTAGTAGAAACCTTGAAGTCTTTTAGTCGGAGCATAAGGGAAGATAGCTCGTTAGAACATTTGCCATGAAAATATTTGTAGAAAAGACAGAGGGAAGCCACATTACGTCTATGAGAGAGCGGCTGAAGCCGAGATGTCAAGTCATGACCGATTACATTGCAGATCCTTCTTTGGATTTTGCCGAGAACCTCCAGATGAACAACAGGTACACCAGACCAGATATGGCAACAATATTCAATGCATGGACGAATGATAGATTTGTAGATGTGTAAGATGGACTCTGACGATAAAAACCTTCTGGCACCACCCAATGAACCGAATTTCCTAGCAGTAGATGCAGCTATTGATTCAATGTAGTTGTTCTACCATCAGGTCAAGAAGGCGCAGTGAGACACTCTCACGGAATCGAGCATCATCCATGCTGAAGGGTGGGTAGGAAAGTTGCCTTCTGGCGTTTAAATGAGAGCATATGTTGGATTAATAAATGAAAATCCAGTACTTCTTTAGAAATTGCTTTGTTTACGCTTCGGATACGAAACTGGGCAGATACGAATTTTCAGGTATCTAAACGAGAGAATAATGTTCTTAAAGACAGTACCCAACATTTCCTGATCGACGACGGAAGTCTTCGTAGCCGAATTGGTTAAAACACGTCAGATCTAATGTCGGTTTCTCCTACAAAAGGAAGACGTAGGATCAAATCAAGCCAGAATCTGCACTTTTTTAAAAATAAGATTTCTCGACTATTTCGGCTGGTAGACTCAAATAAAATACTGTCTGAAAGAAAAAAACAATGGACAAAGCGTCTATTCAAATAATAGTATCCACTATAAGTCTATATAATACTAAAAAATAATTTTGTATGTATATATGTTTGTTCCCGGGATACAGCTTAAACGATAAATAATATCCCAACCAATTTAGGATTATATTGTACATTGAAACCCCTCTAAATTTCATTAAAATTAGACAAGGGGTTCTTGAGCTTGGGCTGTTTTTTTTTTGTTTTCTGTTTTTACGGCAGTTTTAATATGAAATTCAGTATTTGTTTTCGATGGACATTCTTATATCAATCCGCGTATATAAACAAACACATTACATATATTACATTATATATTATTTTATATTTTTATATTATCTATATATCATATTTTGTGTGTGAAAAAGAATATGCATTATAATGCATTACTAAATAAATTTAAATCTACACGACACTTTAATTTTTCGTATATAAATAAACTTTCTTAATACTTTGCTTCGTTTTTCGAAGGCATCTTTACATATGACAATGAGCCTTCAGATTTCGGCGCCACATTTTCACTCCTTTGTTAAAACAATTATTGCAATAGTAACAATATATTCTTCTTCTCCTCCTCCTTCTATGCAAAGTGTCCCTTTAGAAGTTTGACGATCATGGCTCTCCCCAATTTCCTGTCCTTTGTAGCTCTTAATATATGTTGTATTTTTGTTATCTCCCCTAATCCTTGTTCCGCACTCCATTTAATCAAGCTCATTCTTATTCTTCATCTACTTGTTGTGTCTCTTCAGGCCGTTGGAGATTATAGCCCTCCACAATTTCCTGTCCTTTGTAGCTTTTAATATATGTTGTCTGTTTGTTATCTCTCCTAAACCTTGTTTCGTCATCCATTTACCCAAGCTCATTCTTATTTTTCATCTACGTGTTGTGTCCCTTCAGGACCTTGGCGATCATGGCT